CGACCTCGGCGCACATGACTGTACCACGAAATACTCTGATGAGGGAGAGACAACGTGCAGGCTCCCCCTCAACAGGAATAGCAACGCAGAAAGGCATAGGCGCAGGCCGGGATGGTCACCGTGCTCATCACCACCAGTGATCCCTATACGGTCCTTGCTCCTTGGCGACCACCCACCCATCCAAGCCTGGCTCGCCGTCGTTCCCTCAGGAGGACAGCTTCTGCCGAGCCACTGCGGAAAAGCAGCGTGTGCGTTTTGTCGCCAAAGGAGCACGTGCATTTTGCCGCCAGAAGCGGTTCTCCTGTTCGATAGACCACTTGCCTGCTGTGTTCTGCACAACATCCGCAAATGGAGGAGCAGATGGCAGAGGGCAGGGAGCAAGAAACTAAGACAGAAATTAAGGCCATCACCATCTATAGCTTGTCACCAACTGGGTGATGAGTCACTAGGGATGTTCTGGCAGGCTAGCTTGTGTGAAATCCTCCAATACTGCTTGTAAAGTTGCAACTATGTATATTGGTTGCTTTGGAAGCAATAAACCACCAAGCATCCAACCTTTAAACGTCCAATCACTAACAACCCAAAGCCTAAACCTGAGACCGTCAGAAATGCAAGTGAAGACTTGCATGATGAACGCAGCAAGAGTGCAAGAGCACAAGATTTTCTTGTAAAAAGAGTACAACTCCTCCACCCAAACCACCAAAACATTTATTTTTGAAAACACACATACAGAACCTTTTAAAAATTTGTGCAACTATGTGCTTCTTTCTTTTCATCACTGACCCATCAGGTGACGTTCTTGAATGGTTGCAGTCTGTGGGCCAAGTTCTCTGATGGGAGGATGTGCTCATGGCAAGTGGGCTGCTGCTGTGCAGGTTCCAGAAGTTGAGAAGACTGCCGGCACTTCTGTCTCTACCTGTCCACCTGGGCTGGTTCCTGCATCTCCTCCACTCCAGGCTGACTGCAGGCATGCATCATTTCCACGGTGATACGTGGCGACTCTAGCTGTCCTTCATGCATGTTTTGATTTTTTGTCTCCTCTCATTGCTTCTAAGGATTCACATACCTATTGCAAAACCTCTCTCCTCACTGAGACTTCCTCTTCTTTTTGCACGTTGTCTCTGGAGCACATTTACTATCCTTTCTACCGTAGCGTTCTGCAGCATCCTTGCGCTCTGCGTTCATCCAGCGGTCCTTAAATAAGGAATTAAAATAGTTATTATAGCTTCCTTAGGTAGAGATTAAGACAGCATTACTGCCCACTACTTAAAGCTCTTCTCCCCCTTGTCTAGGCCAGAACTGACGATGACAGACTGCTGCTCTATCTTCCCAGATGTAATCTCTGACTGCAGATTAGATTTGGCCTCGACTGCATCCTGGAAGTTGGTGGATAAAGATTCACAGACCAGGCAGGGAAAAAGCACAGAGCAGAAAGCTGTTTGCTGATGATGGCAAGCTGAGTCTGCACTCAAGTAGCAAGACGATGGATGCTCTGTCTGAAGACAAAGGGGGGTTTTATTCACCCCTGCCTAGGGGAGAAGAACCTGTTACAAGCCGAAACAGAGGATGGGAAGGAGGAAAATAGCAGAGCACAGTCCTGCTTGTGACTGCCGTGACCACTTTTGGAGATAATGCTTGTGCTGAGAGACATAACAGTGATCCCAGTTATGGCAGGTCAACAAAAGCATTTCTTCATTCAAGCCAAAGGAAGTTCTGTCAAGCATGCCCTGCCACTGCTACCTCACACGGGTCCTGTAGATAGCCTGAACTGTGGGACAGGGCAGTAGCCCAAGCTGACTTGGTAAATATATCAGAAAAACATTACGGAGAGGTTATTTCACTATCTCAGACTAAAAGTAAATTATATAACCTCCCAGCACATTAATGAGATTCGATGCATGACTGAGGAAACAAACGATGAGGGGAGAAAAAGGCCCTGCCTGCATTTTCCTGCACTGAATGCTATTTGTTTCAATACCTGTGTCTGCGTTTGCACTGCTGTTATGTTGCTTGAGCATGATAAACCTGAAATATAGGCACAATTCCCAGCAAAAACCCTTCCTTCCTCCCCCCAAAACAACAAAAGAATGAATGAGTGTCTGTACCTGGGATGGGAAGGCTTATTCAACTTTTGAAGCCTGGGCATCTTCTTGTAGCACCTGCAACTCACATATGCTCTTGGGAGGCCTCTGCTTCTACTATAATTTGTTTGTCATCTTTGTCTTCCTCTTCTTCCTCAAAAGATGTGAGCAAAGGGGAGTCCCAGCTGCTCCCCCAAGAGTAGCTCTATGTCACGACGGGGTTACATCCATGTATCAATTCATGATGCAATCCAGCTCCTTGCAGTAGGGAAACACTAGGGGCACGTTTCAAAGTCTTGGCGATGGTAAAACTGATTCGAACATCTGTGTTCTCTGTGCCAAAGAACCTGCAGACAGTGGATGTCATCATCTTGGAACTCCTAATGGAGGTTCTTGCACAGACTGAGTGTCGGCTGGCTTTCCCCAGGTCCAGCTGGGATCACAGCTGAAAATGCCCAAAATATACTCACTGAACACTTGATACTTACTCTGGGTGGCTCCATTTCTGATTCAGGTTCTGACTCTCACCAGTACCAATGTTATCATTAAGCTGACTGAGGCTCAGCTAGTTGGCATTTGGTGAACAAGCAAATTAAAAAGAGAAAATAAATGGGCCTGATCCTGCGTATAAAGAAATGTGGCAAGATTCTGTGACACCGCAGGGTGGTCACAGAGCTTTGAAAGAAGAAAAATAGGAGGAGGAGTGGTGAAAAATGCCTGTGATTCCTTTCAAAGTTTTATTACAGAGTAAACATACTACACCTATAGTGAAATAAATTCTGTTGAATTACAGTTATCCTTTCAAAACGTTGCAAATAACTTTAACCTGACAGAGACGCTCTATAGTAGTTGAGTACTTCACTCCGCATGGGTGTGGTGGCTTTGATCTGGTACTGAGCATGCTAAAGCTGGATGTATTGCTTTGGGGAAACAAAAATCACAGCATCACAGTAGTAAACCCATCTAACTGCCTGACTCCCGCAGCATGACTGGGCTCCAATCACTGGAGCCCAGTGGCACCATGTGGCAAAGGCAATACAGTTCCACGTGTCACAAGCACGACACGGTCTGTAGGCACATTATTTTATTAGACCAGTCGGCAAATGTACGGTAAACGGACAAGGTTTTGACCAGACAAGCCCTTAGACCATCAACTGCAGTGAGCAGAAAGAGTCAGAGCACGCTGGTAAAATACAAGTCCTTTCCCGTTCTCATCAACCTACAGGCCAGAGCTGCATGACTGATCCTGTCAAGAAGGTGCAATAATCTGTGAAAATATGAACTCCACCGAAAACATCACGAGGGAGCTTCTGGCAATAAACACGCACAGGAGTGGATATCGGAGCACGTGTGCAGCAGAGCACGGTGACCTCTAGCCCAACTGCTGCTGGCTGCAAAAGCAGAAATTATTATCCCAAAGAATGAGCCCAACTCACTATTCAGCCTCATTACTCACGTCTCTGTCTCCCCTCACAGCCAGCTCCCATTTAAGCACGAGGTCTTCTTAGTAAACAACAGCCCAGTTTTGGCTTTTGCTCAGCTCTCCTCTAAGCAGAGCCCGCAGCGTGCGCGGGAGTCCCAGGCAGTGCTACACGATTAGGATCACGACATGCCGCGGATCTCCAACGCCTCCGAGCTTCCACTCGGACAGAAACCAATTACAACTCTGAAACCTCCCACCAAGCAGCGCCATTTGAAAACCAGCGAAGTTTCTCCTCTTTAACACTTTGTCTCTCCCTCTCAACACGGCAGTTGGCGTTTGGAGGGGAGCAGGGGACGATTCGGCAGACTTCAGTAGTAAATACAGCTTTTCTCCCTGGTTAACGCTACTGCAGCAATTGCACGAAGGGCTCATTTCCCTCTCAGGGCTTTGAACAACTGCCAAGACACAGCGCTCAGAGCGCTGCGGCTGCGGCTCATCGGGAAGGATTTCTTATGTAATTCTCACCTTCCAGGATCCTTCCCCGCTCCTGCCTGCGTGTTGTGCCAGTGCTGGCAGGGACAGAGGCTGGCTCCCGTTCGCTTCGGCTCAGGGCTTCCTGACAGCTGGCAGCGAGGCTTTCCTGCGCCTCGGCGGTCCAAGACCGCCCGGGGTTAGCAGAACAGCCTCTTGCCACAAGAGATTTTAGGAAGGGGCAAGACTTTTGTAGAGATCAGCGCTGTGGTAGGTATCTGTTTTTCCTGGCACACGGAGTTCACAATGCAGTATTTGCTTTTACATTTATTTGATTAGATAATCAATGCATCAAATTCAGCATGAGCCAATGGTTTACACTGGAAATTAATCCCTGAATCTTTCCAGTGAAAGCATTTTCAGAGCAAGGTCTATGAAGCAAAGCTAAATTCATAAATTAAATATGACTAGGATGCACTCGCAGTCATTTTGTTTATTCATTACAGGAATAGTTGTCCTGCCTTTCCCTGTTTATGATGATAGGCAGCACCTCCAAATGAAGTACTGGAATTAAGCATCAATGTCATCTTTCACCACCAGCACTTGGTAGATTTTTCTCTTTGCCTTTTTCATGAGACTGAAGCTCCCAAAAGACAGCAGCAGCCAGTCAGGGCTGCTGCAGGAACAGCGATTCCAGGAAAGGAGCCTTCCGCAGAACCGCAGCCGATAAACAAGGTCCCACACGGCCAGCCCTGCCTTGGTTACATAAGGAGCAATGGAGAAACGCCAAAGAAAGTTCTAGTAGAGGGACTTCTCCCTGTCCCCTGTACACATGCAACCCCACCTAATTACAAAGTTGCATATAATTTCCCAGTTAGTACAGTGTAACAGGCAAGTTCTTCCTGCAAACTCTTTCTACAGAGGTTCACTACTTAGCAGTAGTGTCTCCTTCTTCGGTATCCTAACTCATCTTCTAAAATATTTTTCTGTCACTATTTCAATCCTTGGCCTCCTAAAGCTTCTTTACAGAAGTAATGGGAAATTGATTCTTTTCCTTGTTTTATCAGAAAACACAGACTTAGCTTTGCTCAAACTTTACCTAAAACATTGCCATTGAGGACAGTCCATGCTCAGAAAACTCAGCCCCAACCAGTGAACGTTAACATCTGAACACACTTATGGAAACTATTAAAAGAATCGTCACCATCATACACGCTACTATTCTTAGTAAAAGCTGAAGAGATGGGTCACTGTACACGCCATATGTATTTGGATGTAGTTTTGGAGCACCTTAATTCTTATATAGTGAGGCACTGAACCCTTTGGAATGGGCTGTGGGGTAGAAAAGCCCACAATCTCCATTTCGATGATTCCCTCCTCCCTTGCTTCTCTGAATTAGTACAGGAATGCTTCACTTTTCCTCTCCCAAAGTAATTTTCTGTATTTCATGCACATGAAGTACTAAACCTAAATATATATATTATATATATACACACACACAATACTGCTCCCCATCTACACACTAAAACTCCATTTTGATTGGCTATCTACCATGATTTATTACATTAATAAAGACACTCTTTATTGTGAAGAGCTTTCCTTAGAAAGTAGACAAATGTTTTTAATAAGAACCAAGAGATAAAATACCATCCTCCTCCTTTTCTTGCACTATCTTCTGGAACTTGAATCAAGACACTGAAACGCATCTTGATCAAAGAAAACCTGGGTGTAGAGCTTGACCAAGCTCCACAGGTCAGGTATTTCCTAATGAATTACTCTGCTAATGGTATCAGGAGAAAATTAATTTCATTAGCAGCTGAGGAAGTGTCAGGCCATCACTTTTTACCATCTACTACATCCTCTTGGTGATTCTCTAAAGAAATTGAAGCAACGCCGAAACCCGGTTGCCATATAACCAGTTTTACAATACCCTTAAACATGGGGACAATTATCTCACTTCATCGCTCAACAATTTAACATGCTCTAAGATTGGTTTCATGAAGGAGCAGTAACAGATGGCTCAGTGGCAACCCTGGGATGGGAGAAACTTCAGCACATAAAACGCACGACTTCTTCATATCTTCTGAAGATGCAGTGGTTGCATGTTAACCTCCAGAGCCAGAAATATTGCTTTCCTCTTAAAGCATCACATTAGCACAGGAGGATGCGACACAGACACTCTGGGCTTTGCTTGAGATCTCACCCAAGTTGCTCAGGTAGCACCATTAACACAGACTGTGCATTCAGATACACTGCAACACCTCCACAAAATTACGCTCAAAGTTCTGTCACAAACTGTGCTGTTGGAATCCCAAGGTATCTGGAGGCCTTCCTTACTGCGTTTGTTTTTAACAAGGCAAGATTTGCTGCTTGTTTTGATTTCATACTTGAGATTGAAACCTGATCTTTAGTTAAGAGTCTCGAAATTTAACAGTTTCTGTTTCCAGTCATCGACAGTCTATACCCACCTCTTAAGAGCTGGTTTTTTTGTTCTGGAACAAGGCTTTAGTGCATCTCTCCCTCACATAAAACCAACTTAAGGTTACTGGAACACAGTGAGTGACTTCTAAAGACATCTCAATGGAGATTTGTCATTATCTGCTCTTTGCCATAATAGTACTTTTTTGTTTTCTTTAAAAAACAAGAACGATGCTTCAAAAGTTTTCCCCAGGCAGTCATTCAGACTTTGAATCACTATCACATTCCCCTTTCTAAGGTAAAGGAGTCTGTACAAGAGGCCTGTACGCAGGCACAGCTCTGAAGTCACGGTGAAGTACAGAGTCAAGCCTAACTTCAAGTGGAGCATATGTTCTGCTGACACTGGGATTATGTGGTCTTCACTCAAGGCAGCAGTCTCCACTGTTTTCTCTGCTTGTTTTAGCGTCATCACAGTCATAAAATTCAGCTAGAACACCAGGAAGAAAATAGCATCTCTCCTCCAGGCCCTCACGTCCCCTTGCGGAATAAAGGAGCTTCCTTACTCCATCTTTTATTCCAAAAATCACTCAATTTTTACTAGAATTCAAATTTCAATATATATATCCAAACGAAACAACTCTGCAAGCAATCTGCCACACTGGTGGATCTGGACCTACTAGACGACCTCTCCTCATTTCGTGCTGGTTTTTTGCTCTGGGGCTCTGTCCCTAGCAATTCACCTCTGCCCCATCAGTCACTAACTCTTCTGCTCCCACAGATGATTTTTGTGCTCTTGCTTTACAAAAGCGCAGTGGTTATGCAGCCCAGCAGAGCAGAATGATGTGAGTACATCCATTCCTTTCCCTCCCAGACTGAAGCGAAAAGGATGTGTAGAGAACAGAGAAAGCCACTAGCCTGCATTCAGTATACTAGCACTCCAGCCTTCCAAGAGCTGCAGCGCTGTGATTCAGAAAACATGCATGCAGGAAACAAAATTACCTTCATGACAGGCTGAGCAAAATACTTTGCGCTCCAGTCACAGAAACCCGTCTGCACTGTGGCCGAAATGAAACTTTTGTGTCCAACGGTATCATCAGCGTCATCAGTAGTCTGTCCAGAAAGAGTACAGGATATTAATCTACGTTCATCCCACTCACATGGGCAGAAGGCATACACAATATCCAGACTGCCTTCAGCAGATCACCAGGCAGAAAAAACGCTGAAAAGCATTGCCAAGCATACGAAATTTTGCACGTCTGTCTTCAAGATCGTTACCATTACATTATCTTATTTGGTCTCCCTGGAAATGGCACAGACTACCCCTTCTGCACAGCACCTGGCATTATCAGGCTATCATATGAATTAGGGCTGAAGCATTAGTTTATCATAAACATGAGATCCTAGGATGAACTCTTTCATGGTCTCCCAAGAATCTGCCTGAGAAACAGTGGAGCAGTGAAGACGGTTTGGGATAAAGCACTGCAGGACAAGGCTTCAGATCAACAGCACATATGCATTAAATATTTGTTATAAAGCATAAGACATCCAAAAATAAAATGGAAAGACCACTCCATTCATCTAGTTTTCCTCTAGTTTTTCAGAAATATCAGCCAGGCTATTGCCTCCATCCCCAAGAAAATTAAAGGTGTTCCTACTAAGGCTTGAAAAGTTTTTTTTCTTGTAATCACACAAAAGCATTGACTCTCAACCTCTGGAAACTTCTATGAAGCTGTTCATTAAGGAAAAATGGAAATGTCAATTTAAGTGAAGAGCAGTTACTTCTCAGTAGCTAGACTACCTAAAGGCCATACTGCCCACTTGTACTGTGGACTGCGATGCACACATCTTACCACCTGAGACGGGAGAATCTTTCCCTTTTATAGTGCACTGGAGGGAGAAAAGGAGGGCCAGTGTCCTCCCTCCATGATGTTAGTGCTTTAATATACAGAGCAGAGCACTATATCTGCCTTTTCAGTTTCCTCTTATCCACAGAGCCAACACCAGAAGGATCCTGGAAATGCTTTAAAGAGGTAGACAAAGACATTGTCAGATAACTAAGTCCTTGAGAACACTGACCACTGATAAGCAGAGCCTTTATCTTCAAGTGATGTCCACAAGCACATCTGAGTGTGCTTGGAGTCAGCTATACTCAAAGTCACCTGAAGGTGCCACTCAGAATATTTTGTGCAAATTACAGGGCTGCTCCACGAGGCACTGCATCAATGCAAGCTTCTGTAAATGGAAAAATGCCCAGTATCTGATGATTGGCCTTAAAATGCTAAAATAGATGCAAACTCCTTGTTGGTCTGGGCACTGAAAAGAAGAGTCACTGAAATTCCTTCCAGAAGTCCCAACAGCTCTTGACTGATCTACTCTTTTCCAGCAGGGTGACTTGTAATGAGCTTCGGTCTTCCTAGCAATAGCCTGAGCTTATATCCTCCCTTTGTGTGCAGTGAAGAGGGGCTGCTAAGCATGGAACGGGTGGCCACTGCTGTGAAGGTGGCAAACATTCCAGGGCCAGAGCGTCTGTCAGTCTCTGGAGAGGAATCTCAGTTTGTACGTTAACGGAAGAGGAATCTCCCCTTTAGTCTCCCCTGTCTTTGCTTTGGGGAGGTTGGGAAAAAAGCATCTTGAGGATCACGTATCTGACTGTGCATTACCACTCAGACAGATGAATGCTTACAGAAGAATAAATGATCAACTCTGATTAAACACTTCGTAGCAGCAGAAGTGAATAATGTGCTATCAAAAGCCATAAAATGAAATTCATCCTGAAGAAAAATAATCACTTTTTATTTTACTGGTTAGAGGAAGCTAAACTGGAGTTAGCAGCAGCTAGAAGCAAACAAAGAATACGTAGAAATAAAACTGAAAGAACAAAATATCTAACAAATCCCAGCGGAACAGGGAGGCGTCAGAGTTGAAAGGGACAGTTTATTTACCTGTTCTGGCCCTTTGTCAAACATTTTTCTTGTTCTGGGGAACTGGTGGGAGTGGGGAGTATACTGAACCCCCATGTTGCCTACGTTGGCAGGTCTTACAGACGTGATGTCCCGACTGACTGGCTGTTTTGTCACGTCATTTGTCAGGCTGGAGCTGCTGGTGCTGGTGGTTGGAGGTGACCCTCTAAAGATCAAACAAGAGTAAAAGGATGAAGATGACACTGGACATGAAACCTATTCTCACTTTTTAACCACTCTGACATGTATCCCCTGAAACCTGGCCTGTTTCAGTGAAGTGCAGTCCTGCCATGCTTTCCACTTTGCAGAATTAACTCGGTTTCCTATAAACAGAAGACAATTCAGTGCTCCCACTCATAGGTGAAGGCAATGCTGACCTATCAAACCTGAATGGCAGATGATAACACTTTAACTATATTACCATTATCTGTTTCACTGCCTTTGCTATTGCATGTGAATTACATTACTTTTACTTTGTTTCTTTTTTATTTGGTTTATATTTCACTGTTACGTTTCCTCTACAAAAACAAAACACTTCCCCTCTCCCCCTCCCCCCAAATCCAAACAACCTCTAAAATAAGAGTGACTCTTCGCTAAGCCAGCTCCAGATTCAGCATAGAAGAATCAAAATTTGGGGAAACTGTATATCCAACAGTCACACCTACAGCCACGATCCCTGACCTAAAGCACACTGACTAGCAATTCTCTTTCAGCAGGGAGACTGGAAGCCCTGTTAGCCTGCAGAAAAGCATTTTAATTTACATGTAAACTGAGATTTATCTTATTGCATAGCTACAAAATACCATCACAAGACATAAAAAAAAAAAAAATCACTATGTAGTTATGAGCCCTCCTTTTTAGCTATAATGCTTACTGGTCCAAATTATAAGGCTGCAAGATCTAAAGCTTGTTGTTTTCTCTAGGGGAACGTATTTTGGGGAATAACCAGATTTTCAAATCCTAGCTTTGCCCACACCATTATTTCAATTCCACTGAAACTTAAGCATGGCTTGTTGATCACCAGGTAACGCTGGCTTTTATCAGCTGAACATGGAGGAAATACAGATAACATTTCACTGGGAGAGGTGGAACCACACAGGTCAGGCCAGAGCGCAGCAGTAACAGCAGCAGCATCAAGCTTTTTCTTTCAATTTATCTGTAGACAATTAATGTGGCTTGTTACTGTTTGTCCTAAAAAGGACTAACAGGAACAAACTCCCAGCTATCCCCAGAGCTTCTCTTTCTAAACGCTTTACCAGTGTTAAAACAAGAAACTTCTGAGCCCCTTGCATACTCATTTTCTCCGGTGCAGTTAGTTGCAATGGCTGCTTGAGTTGCAACAGGTAGGGAGCACCTAAATCCACTTAGGCGTAGCTGCTAACAACCAACATTAAAGCTTACCCTACTTGGTGGATGTGCATGCCCTTGTTGGTAGGGCTGGCAGGGGCCGACTGCGTCAGCGAGGAGGTGTCGAGGATGCGCTGGGGACGGGCATTTACCGTTGCCTAGAGGAGGAAAAAAAAAAAAAAGCCCAGTGTGCTGAGCAACCAAGAGTGCAAAATACCAACTGCACTTATTTATTATCTAATAAAATCATACACCTGGGATTAAATGAAGCTAAGTTCTCTATCACAGTGCACGTGTGTGGGTGTTTAAAAACGTAGGTGAAAAGCCCCTGTGCAGTTCCCCATATGTAAGATTATTTCACCACTTCTAGTCAGCAAATACTTACCAGAAAGTATCCTTCTGTTACTCACAGGCAAATGGCTTTGACTAAGGCATAAACCTTTTCCTCAAACCAATTACAACCTAAGACCTGTACCAGACCTTCAAAACCAGCTGCCAGTGGGCAAGCAGAAAGCCTGAGGGCTCCCTTTCAGCCGCGAGGTTTCCCTCCCATCTCCTGAGCCAGGGCTCCTCACAGCCAGAGCTTGTCCTGCCCGAGCAGCCTTTCGGACCCAGGTGTCCTGGTGCATCAGAGCTCTCCCTGCAAGTCCGGCAGCTACACAAGGTTCCCCCCCCGTTGCCTTTCCACCTCCCCTAACAAGCGCCAAGCTTCTACAGAGCTCATTAGAGGATGTCCTTCCCAGCAATGCAGCTGCATCTGCTCCAGTGGGGAAGGCAGGGAATTGCCTGCAAGCCCCACAAAATACAGCCAGTCCTGCTGCAGAACGGTACAAACGCACAGCACTCGGCCATGAGCTAGGAGAGACCCAATTCTGAAATAGCATGAGAAGTTACTGCCCCTTCTCCTGGGGAAGGCCTCAAGCGCAAGCCAGAGGAAAGCTGGTGAGAAACAAAGACACAGTTTCATCGTTGGCTCTTACTCCTCCTGGCTGAGCCCGCTGCTTGTGCTGCTCAAGCACGCTGTCCATTTACAAAAAGAGAAATGTTCCATTGCTTGTGGACTCCTTTCCTCCTCTTGGATATCACTCAGCCTTCTGTGAAATATATAGCTCCTTCATATTGGAATAACTTTTAAAGGAAGCCTCCAACTGGCTTAAAAGCCTGGAGGAAAAATATGGCAGCTCCTGCTGTCCCACAGGCAAGCTGAGTTTCATCCTCTCTTGAAGCACCAAGCACGCGAGTACTAGTGCCGCTAAGGCAAGTACACGAGCTCTGGCTTGCCTCTCGAGGTGGCCTCCTCATACGAGACAGGCTAATTTTGTGCGCTATCTTCCCACATCCCAGCCAGGAGCAAGAAGGGCTCCAATGCTGCTCATCAGTGCAGCGAGGTCTTCCAGGGAGCAGAAGTTATTATACAAGGCTGGGGAAGACGATCACAAAGGGAGAACGGAAAGAAAGTAGTAATTTAGCAACTAGTGATTGATTATTATTCATAACTAGCTTTAATTAATCACAGAAGGCCCGGTTTTAAGATTCTTGCCGTCAGGGCTCTATCACCTGAAATGAGTCAGGCCAACTCGTTTCACAGCAGAGGGACAGGGTCAGCTAGCGGTAGTTTGCCCAAGTGATACACAGGGAGATGAGTGTGGCAGACCACCTTCCCTCTTCTTGGGAAAAATAAAAAAGGAATTCCTCTTCTGAAAGCAACAAGCAATTTGAGAGCTGCAGTTCAGCGATGTGACGGTGTACTGTGCTTGAGGCAGCAGTTCCCCATTTCCTGGAGATTTGCTCCTCTATCAGCCGAATCTCTTTTTCAGGAGGGGAGATGGTCATTCATAATTTTGCTAATTGATTCCAAGTAAATAAAATGACCATGCTGTTCAAGAAAGCCTGTAGCAGGGAGGGATGTTGTAGAGGAATAACTACTAGGATGATTTAGCCACAAACCCTCCATTAAAAATAGCTGGATGAAGTAACCTGGGTTGAAGCAAGCTTTCCTTAAAAGGGCCATCATTGCTTTCTGGATCCTTTTTTTGTTTTGGTACAGACAAAAAGCACGTTTTGGATTTTTTTTTTTTTTTTTTTTAAAACAATCAGGTTGGGAAGGAAAGTTGTACCATTCCAATCTGAATCACTAATATAAATCACAACACAGCAGCAATCCAGTGAGAGAACCAGCAATGTCTAATCAGTCCCAGAAATAAAGCTGCATATTTCCAATCCAGGAAGCATGCGCGTCTGTGCAACCTACTCGCCAGCTGCTCAGAAAGCCATCACCCTATTTAAAGACCACTGGAGTTCTCCTATAGAACAAGATCTATGTTCATGGTGCCATCAGAAAAACAAATAGAGCTTGGCACATTTGGAAAACAAAAATTCTGCTTTTAATCGACGTCCTACCTTGCAAATAGTTATTCTGTAAATTCAGACTCTTAATCTGAACTTTTGCACAGGGTCACAAAATTCATAGTACTGACCCAGTGGATTACGGCAGAGGATTAAAAAGCTTAGCAATATTTACTTCCTCTGAAGCTCTCACACTACAGTACACTCAAGGTGTTGTCTGAACATCCTTTGGGGGAACTGAGTTACATGACCAACCCTTATATGGTACAAAATATGTTTAAAAATTGTGTTTAAGCAAAGAGCTTGGCAACAATTTCAGCCTGAATATTTAGTATGCCAAAAATGACGATTCAGACCAGTATCGTTCAGAAGTATAAGCCCATGGTGAATTTGTTACAGGTCCTTCAGCCCTGACAATCAAAAATAACGTCCTGCAAATCAGACTGTTTTATACAGTCATGTTAAAATAAGGAAACTATAGATGTCTTAAGTTCCAGAATTAAGCCTTTTGTTCCATGAATTTTGTATTAATTAGACCAAAAGGATTAAAAATCTGAATACCCAAGTGCTTTATTTAACCTGCAATACTATTTTTGTTTCAGTAAGAAAATCAAATTTTCTTCTTATTCAACACTGTAACTCAAACAGCAACATGGAAAATGCATTGTTTGCGCAAGCTTTATGCAGGAGGCCAACGGGCCTGGGGCCAGCATTCAGACTGCTCCCATTTATATCCAGCCAAAGCTCTATTAGCACCAAGGAGAGATCTCAGTATACAATTAGTAGAAATTTAATTGTTACTAATTGCCATTATGTGCCAGACAACTCCGATAACCTATCTGAGCTCACACCGGCAGAGATGTGGAGTTCGGGCTATAAATCCTGGCAGTGCTGTTCACAGCAGGATGAGTTAAGGCCAGATTGTAACCTGGGAACTGAAGCCTTAACTTCCCTTTCAGAGGGTTGTTAATAAGAATCCACAAAAAGAAACCATCTCAGAAGCTACCTAAACCAGGCGGTGCTGGCAAAGGCAAAGTCCCCAGCACTACAAAGTGCCTAGGAGCTGGCCCACTACCTGCACAGCTGCCCAAATTGCTGCCCAAATTGCATATTTAAATGCTTTCCTGACCTTACGGCTGAGGTAAAGAACAGCAAATAAGTCTTGCTCCCCGAAGCATCCCCAGATAAAAATCTTTGCAAATGGGAATGCTTCATCTATTGTTTTGCAAAACCATTTGAAAAGTCCTTGCCTTAGAGAGCCAGGGACAGAGCAACTGTCAAGAAGCAGAGCATGAAATGCATGATGTCCATCTACTTGAGCTTTCATACTCCATTCAATACCAAAACATTTAGGTCAAAACACCTCAAAATCAACCTAGAATTTACCAAACCAGTCATAACGTTCACTACAGATATTACAACATCATGATTAAAGTTTCCTAGTTCCTACTGGCTAAGCAGAACCACAGCAGCACTAGTGAAGACATCTGCAGGGCACAACTGCATCTTTATTAATATTTATGCATCTCTTTCCACTAGCAAGGGAGAAAGCCCTGAAAAAATAGTTAAGACAGAAAAAGCAGATCCAGTTCCTCTTCATATTCCTTTTAATCCCACAGTAGGACTAACACTTTATTCTGCAAAGAGCCTTCCAAAACGCAACACTGAAGTAGCTTCATGTTTCTAGTGCAGATAAGACGGGAATCTTTTAACATTTCCTTCTCTTTTTCACCTTAGTTTGGAATTTCCAGCCTGACATAGTAATTTGTTGTATACCTCTATCATTAGGGAAAAGCTGACCTCATTGCCCACAACCGTCACAATTTACTATCCCAAACCCCAGACTTTACCAACCGACTCACATGTATACTTAAAACAAAAGAAGGAGTTTAAACGAGGAACTATTTTGTTAAGAGAGAAACAGATTTAAAAGCAAGAAACCTCTAACACATTAAAATGGTAGTGCACAATGCTGGCATCTCTTACTGCAACTTCAGCTTAGAAGCCTAAGTGCAAACATTTAGGGTTGTTCATTGTAAATCGTCAGTAAGAGACGTCATCTTGCATTGGGATGGCTCATGGTCTTGATGCTAGAGCAACTAGAAAGGTGGAATCCAAGCATGTGGGAAGGGCTGCACTTGATTAGCTTTCTGATACCATCGGCTCGGGCAGAGAAGGGGGAAAGGCAGTTGGTGAGAAGATGTTCTGGGGTGGCCTGGTGCTTTGTTTCAGGTGGAAGGTGCGGGTGCTTCTACAGCTCCCCAAGCTGGCAATTCTGGATCAGCAGTGACGGCAGCCTCCAGGGACATCTTGTCATCCTTGGAGGATGAAATGCGATGAGGATGGTGGTTTAGGCCTGGATTGGAGAGGTGAGTAGTGGCAGGGGTGTCTGCATGCTGACTCACATGTACTAGTTCACCTGGATTGGAGAGCCGTTGTGGCTTCAGTCTGCAGGCCAGTCCCACTTGCATAATCTAGATCAGTTTGCAAACGGATAATTTAATGAAGTATATTTAAGGTTTCTCCCAGGGACTGATCTAGACAAGAAGACTTCTAAACAAGACCTAGTGTCTAAGGACCGTACCTAATTCATGTCCTTAAACAATCCCCAGCCCTCCCCCATGTATTTTAACTTGTTTAAGAGTTCATACGAGTGTTTAATCATCTTGAAGGATTAAAGGTTCCTTCTGCAACAGATTCAGACTGAACTAGGCTCATTTACCACAGCCCTCCAAGGGATCTATTCTGTCCCGCCTACCTATACTTTGCCTAAGTATGAAAAAAATTAACATACAAAAGCCTCACAGACAAACACGAACAGGGAAAGGCATACCTTGTAGGCGATACTATTTAGGACTTTCATAGCCAAGTCGGAGACATCAGGATAGGGGTCAGCAGCTAGGTGAAGGAGTACTCTCCAAATTTGAGTATAAACACTGTTGAAACTCACACCTAAAATAGTAAAAAGAGAACAAAGCCCCAAACACATGACAATCCGTCAACTTCAATTCTGTGATCTTATGTGAGAAAATTCCTAAGAACTCCTAACGTGACAATGGCAGCTAAGCAAATATCGAGAGAAGAGCTCAAAAACACCCTCTATGGGACAGTCTCCATCTAGTCTTCCTTTGTGAAGTCTGCAAAGGTTTCTAAAATGAAAGTGGGAGAAAATTAAAGAATACCTAAATAAGCCACAGGCAAACTGATTGTTTTCTAAGCCCTTGAAGCAAGTTATTTGAAAAGGCCAAATGGAAGACCACGTGTTTGCAATACCTGAGTTAAAATACTTAAAAAAAAAAAAAAATTAAAAAACATCACATTTGCTTAGATTTGTGTGGTTATTTTTGTTGCTGTTTTAAAGATTAACATTCAGTTTTTATGTTCAGGGTATTACATATTCTACAAGTTTATTAACCATCTGAATGTTAAAATGAAGCTTGAGGACTAGTACCTTTGAGGAGCAGAAAGTCTAACTCAGTTTTTCTTATTGACATTCGTGCCAATTTCTCAACTGCCAATGTGTTATTTACCACCAATATCTGCAGTTTGGTAACCAGCAGAAGCGACTGACAGGTTCTAAGTACAAATCAAGTTAATAAGCATTTCTAACAACTGACAAAAATTCTGTGAACGTTTTATTTTGCTGCTTCTAGGTGAATCTTTAATTTGCTATTCTTTCTCCTAACCCTCGCAATATTTAATAGCGATAACACCATTCTTTTGGGAGTTGAGCCATTTGGACAATACTAAAGTAGTCACACTAACAAAAAAGGAACTAAAATAGGGATTTCAGATGAGTCACAATCAATGGAAATGACAGATCAAGCTGTTACTGCATTTCCTTTAGTGTTCCTGGAGGCATCTAAATATAAAGTGTTAAGTTAGGAATAAAGGGTCCATGGTCAACAAGCAAGTTCTCACCTTGCATATCCTGAACCTGATACTCAAACCAAGAGAAAATAGACTTGGACAGTTCAGTTTTGAACTCTGGCCAAAGAACGCAAGTAGAATGCGATCATAAGCTCTCGCAGTATACACGCTGCCCTTTCTCCATATATTTGTCTACATTAGACAAAGGAACCTTTCTTCTGCCAGAAAAACTCCCCAAGGCGTGACAAAGCGTCCTGCAAAGCGCAAGGCAGGAGTCTAACCCCATCCCTTCATTCAACCTGCAAGTAAAAGGGTCTCTTACTCTTTCAGTAGAGGTCACTCAGAAAATCGCTTGGACATCAGCTGAGTTGTGTGCAGAGATCTCACGGACAACTATTTATGCAGTAGCCCCTGAACAGCACTGCCCGCTTGCTGGAGGTTATCTGTACACTAGACTCCTATAGCTCCTCCTCACCTTTCCAGTACAGGCAAGGTGCTCTACTTTGGGTCAGATACAGTGTTAAATCTGTTGGTTAAATCAGATTTAACCAACAATGTTAAATCTGCCCAGGAAAAAAAGATGAAATTGATAATCCTAGAAAGCAGTAACATCTGTCAAGGTGCACGAGAGTCAGCGCGCGCTGATCTGTCATATCTGGTTTGCGCTAGCTGAGGACAGAGCCAGAAGTGCCTGAGATCAAGGAACACGTGACAGCAGCATGAACGGGTTTAGCCAAACTGACTGAACGCAACTCGATCTGCAGATCCAAGTTCAAACTTTGGCTTTGGTCACAACAGGTAAAAGTCACTGTCTTTTTCAACAGTCCCTTATCCACGTTTAAAAACGATCGTCAACACACGGTAAAGGAAGTCTCTGCTTAGACGAGGGTGAGGCCTCCCCAACGTAAAGGGCGGTGGTACAACGCTTCTCGGTCCTTTCCGGGCTTCTGACCGTTTTAGTTTAAATTTCACAATCGCCATGCTCATCCCGGAAACCTCTATTTCTGGGGAAAAAATGGAGGAGACGGAAGAGAGAAAGTGAGAGACAAAGTGCTACAAGCTGCGGGAGGGCCAAAAAGCCTCAGCCCCGGAGCAGCTCGCCAGGTAACGCCGGCCGGAGCCTGCTCAGCACGCTGCCTCCTACGCTCGGCCCTGGGCTAGGAGTTACACAGGGACCAATGGGAAATCTGAACGGCTTGATTTCTTTTAAAGTCCCTGAAAGACAGTAAAAGGAAAGGGGGAGAAAGGCAGAGCGAGAGGATACCAATCAGGTTTTCCAGCCTCTCTGATAATAAGCCCATTCATGAAGCAGTCATGAAAAGAAAAAAAAAAAAACCCAAACGACATTTTTTATACATCTAAGCGTCATGAAAAACAAATTTAAAATAGAACTGCGCCAGCGCAATTCCTCAGGCACCCAGCAGCCTTTGAGGAGAGCAGAGGGGATTTCTACAAAGGGGCCTGAGGCGGGGACTGGCGCTGCAAGGCCTCCTCCTGCCCGCCGGCGCGGCGCGGCGCCCGCTCCGCCGAGGGACGCGTCTGACCCAGCTCCCGGTACATCACGGAAGGCAGCACAGGCGGCCGGAGGAACAGCCGCTTCATTTCACGTAACGGACTGAAATAATAAAACAAATCCATGAGATGCAAACAAAAAGCCAAGTGAGGGGGAGGGGGAGTTAATTTAAGCAGACAGCTCTGTAATTAGCACGGCTGACTCAAAGCCAGTTAAATGGACCCTGCAGTATGGATTCAGCAAATGATTCCTTTCAGCTAAGGATGTCAAAAATAAATTGCCTTTCTTTGCCGATGACTTTGATTTTGTTTGCATATGTATAACTCTTGGTTCAATTTAATAGCAAGCAACATGCAAAGCGACTGGTTTAGGTCTCGCAGTCTGGTCACCGAGTACGCGCAGAGCAGAACCATGCTGGATGGAGAGACGAACGCTCATGTTTTTATTTACTCTTTTTTATTTTGTCAGGGTTTGACAGGGTTTCTTTCTAACCGCCTTTAAAAACCACTGCAGTGATTTTAAGCCCTGATCCCCGGAAGAAGATGCAGTCCACTCGCCACCCAGCACAGCCGCAAGAGCGGACCAACAGCCAAACCCGAGCTGCGCGTTTTGGACCGTAGACGAGGCTTATTTGTTTTTGTTTATTCTGCCTGCAGGGAAAAGCAAGTTTTGGAGCGACACACAATGGAAATGCATAGCTGGAGTATGTCAGGACGAACAGTACCTGAGGACTCCGACACCCGCTCCCCATCACCGCCAAGCCCACCCGCTTTCTACATCGAAGTCCCACAAGCGGCTTCTCGTCCCGCGAGTGCGATAGCAGGTCCTGGGAGACCCAGGCTCGGAGGAAGAAAACCTCTGAAACGCGGTCGCCTCTCAACTCCGCTTCGGTCAACGCGGACGGCAGCCTGGTCCCTAGAGGGGGGCCAGGGAACTGACCCTTCTCGCAGGGACCTCGGGGTCTGCAGGCGGCTCTCTGCGCGGGCGGCCGCGCGAGCGGGGTCCC